AGATAAAGCTTTAAAGCAATATAAAACAGTATACTTATGATCTTGGGGTAGAGGAAAACATTTTAGAGAAGTTCCAAAGTGCACGAAGGATAAAGTAAAATGTTGATAAATTTACATCAAAATGAACAGCTTCTGGTCACCAAAGAACACTGTAAAGAGAGATGAAACACAGGCCACAGGACGAGGGAAGATGTTTGCCATATGTAATTCACCAAGGTTTGAAAGCCAGAATATACAAAGAGTTCCTACAAGTCAACAATAAAAAAGAGAATCCAACTTCCCCGTACCTACCAAAGAAAGATTTAAATGGAGACTTCACACAAAAAAAGAAAATACAAAGAAGAAATATAGATGCCAGGGTGGCTCAGTGGGTTAAGCCTCTGCCTTCGGCTCAGCTCATGATCTTAGGGTCCTGGGATCGAGCCCCACATCCGGCTCTCTGCTCAACAGGGAGTCTGCTTCCCCCTCTCTCTGCCTGCCTCTCTGCCTACTTGTGATATTTCTCTCTGTCAAATAAATAAATAAAATCTTAAAAAAAAAAAAAAGAAAGAAATACAGATGCCCAACAAACATATGAGAAGGTGTTCAAATTCATAAAGATGTGAATTAAAATCACAAAGCAGTACCGTTACATACACTACCACACAACCAGACTGACTAGTATCTTAAAATCTGACAATACCAACTGGCAGATAAAATGTTGGGCAAAGGTGAGAGTGCACCAGTGTGCACCAGTGCGATCACTTTGGAAACTGGCACTGTCTCCTGAAGCAGAAGACAAGCATGTCTCCTCACGCAGGAAGGCTCACCTGGCTACGTGCCTGGCAGACATGTGGACTGATGTGTGCCCAGATACATGTACTGGATTGCTCATGCAAGGTTTTTAATAAGAGTGAGAAAACTTGAGTTACTCCAACAACAGAGGAAACGTCAGTATATTCCAACAACAGAACACTGTTACTAAATGAACAAACTCAAAACTACACGCAACACCACAAAGTAACATATCCCATATGGTTTCACATATTTAGAGTTCAGAAACTCGAACTTATTATTAACTTATTCTGTTTGGAAGTAGATCCTTAGGTGCTAAGACCAGAAACAAAATTAAGGACGTGATGAACATCTACATCTGCAGGCCGTCACCACGAGGCAGGGAGGAGTGGTGGTCAGGAGGGTGGGGAGGGCACACGTCCGGAATGACCTCATTAACAGCCGCGTGGGCAAGAGCTTCACAAAAACTCCTTACACTTGGCACGCCTGAGTGGCACAGATGGCTAAGCATCTGACTTCAGCTCAGGTCATGATCCCACGGTCCTGGGATCGGGATGCCGGCTCAGCAGGGAGCCTGCTTCTCCCTCTCCTTCTACTGTTCCCTTGCGTGTGCTCTCTCACTCTGACAAATACATAAATAAAATCTGAAAATGAAACAAAACAAAACAACCCTCCTTACACGTTCCATCCAGTTATCTGTATGGGGTATATTTTACAATAAAAAAAGTTTAAAAGTTGAAAAAAAGAGACAGTAAAGAAGAAAAGGCATCTAATAATCCCAATAGATGTAAAAGAAGCATTATATAAAATTTAGACCTCGTGGAGGATTTTTAAAAACTCTTAGTTTATTCTATGTAATAAATCACTTGTACTCTTCAAAACTGTCAAGAATATCATGAGAGGCAAAGAAAGGCTAAGAAACTGTTAGAGATTAAGTGAGCCTAAAGAAACATAATAATCAAATGCAGTCCATGATGCTGGGTTAATTCTGCACCTAAAAACCAACAAAACAAACAAAAACCTTGACTTAGAGGACACTCTTGGGACCACTGGACAATCTGATTAAAACCTGCATATTAGAAGGGCACCTGGGTGGCTCAGTCAGTTAAGCATGTGACTCTTGGCTTCAGCTCAGGTCACGACCTCAGGGTCCTGGGATCAAGCTCCGCATCAGGCTCCACGCTCAGTGCAGGGTCAGCTTGGGATTCTTGCCCTTTGCCCCTCCCCCGACTCACATGCTCTCTCGTGCTATCAAATGGAATAAAATCTTTATTTAAATTCTAGATATTAGGTAACAGTATTGAATCAAAGTTCAATTTCCTGACTCTGATCACTACACTGTGAGTCTATAAGTGAATGGCAATGTCCCCGTTAGACAAACACACACGAGAGTCACCACAGAGAAAGCAATGTGATAGCTACACTTACTCTCAAATGGCTCCAAAAAAACTGTGAAAATAGAGAGAGAGTAAATGTTAATTCGAACATGGCAAAAGGCTGACAACTGCTGAATCTGAGTAAAAAATAGACAGGAATTCTACTACTCTTCAAACTTTTAAGTGTGAAGTTATTTTAAAAGTTTAAAAACAGGGGCGCCTGGGTGGCTCAGTGGGTTAAGCCTCTGCCTTCGGCTCAGGTCATGATCTCAGGGTCCTGGGATCGAGCCCCGCATCGGGCTCTCTGCTCAGTGGGGAGCCTGCTTCCTCCTCTCTCTCTGCCTGTCTCTCTGCCTACTTGTGATCTTTCTCTGTCAAATAAATAAATTTTAAAAAAAATGTTTAAAAAAAAAAAAAGTTTAAAAACAGGGGCCCCTGACTGGCTAAGTTGGTAGAGCATGAGTCCCTGGATCTTGGGGTTGTGAGTTCAAGCCCCACACTGGACATAGGGATTACTTAAAATTTTTTTTTAAATTGTTTTAAATTAAGGGGCACCTGGGTGGCTCAGTCAGGTAAGCATCTGACTTCAGCTAAGGTCACGATCTTGGGTCCTGGGATCAAGCCCCGCATCTGCTGCTAGGCCCTCTGCCCCTGCCCTTGCTTATACATACTCTCACTCCCTCTCTCTCAAATGAATAAATGAAATCTTTGAAAAAATTAAAAACTTTAATTAAAAAGATATAAAAATAATCTCTTAACAAATTAGAAATATAACTCTTCCTAAGCTGATAAGATGTAGCTACTAAAAATATAAAACAAGACAGGAAAAGAAGAAATCAAAACACAACATCGTAAAGTATGCAGAAAACCCAAGAACTGGGGAAGTTATTAAAATTAATAAGTGAACTCAGTATAATCAATGGAGACAAAGTCAAAATATAAAAATCAATTCCATTTTCGCATTATCAGCAGCAATTAGAATTTAAATTCTTAAAAATGATACCATTTATATTCACGTGGAAGATCAAATACTTAGAGCTAAATTGAAAAAGTTACAGAAGATCTCTACAACAGGAAACACATACACACAGACACAGAGAAATTAAAGCAAATCTTTTAAGAAATGGAAGGATTAGAAAACTAAATATTGTAAAGGTGTCTGTCAATACTTTACAAATTGATTTATAGATGCAATGCGATTCCAATGAAAATCCAGCAAGTTTTTTTTTCCCCTAAAAATTGAAGAACTGGTGCTAAAATGCATTTCGAAATGCAGAGAGTCAAGAACAGCCAAGATAATGTTGAAGAAGAACAAAGTGGGAGGACTCACTCTACCCGATACCTAGATTTTGACGATAAAGTTACAGTAATGAGGGCAGGGTGGTCCAGGCACAACGACAGATAAACAGACCCAGGAAGCAGACTAGGATGTCCAGATATGGACACTTGCTTTAAGACCAAGGGGGCAAAGCAGAGCACAGATAAAAGGTAGTATTTTCAATAAATGGCACCGGGTCAAGTGCATAACACATGGAAGGAAATGAAACTTGACCCCTACCTCACAACATACACAAAGAAAGCAATTCCAGGGGGACTGCAGATCCAAATGTGAAAGGTGAAACAATAAAACTTCAAGAAGACAATATAAGGAAATACCTTTCTTTTCCCCTTTTCTTTTTAGGTAGGCTCACGCCCAGCATTGAGCCCAATCAGGGTTTGAACTCAGGACCTTGAGAGCAAGACCTGAGCTGAGATCAAGACTCAGATGCTTGACCGACTAAGCCCGCCAGGTGCCCCATAAGGAACGATCTTCATGGTCTTAGGGGAAGAGAACGTTCCTTATACATGAGAAGAAAGCACTAAGCATAAAAGAAAAAGCTGAGAAACCGTGAACCACATTTAAATTAAGAACTGCTCGTCAAAAGACATCACTCAGAGCACCATGATTTCCCTATCTGTAACACTGGCACAGAAAGCAGACTCACTCAGCAGCAGTGCCCGTGAGCCTTCTACAGTTCAAGAGACACAGACAGTAAATAGATATGGAGTAGAGACTCAGCGAGCATCATCCAGTTTTCACAGAACGGTGTACTTAAGGAAAGATTCGAGGGAAAGCTGCAGTGGGGGAAGTCCAGAGGACAGCTCAGGACAAGAAACACACCAGGGCTTGTGCGTGGATGGAAAGGGAGTGCGTCACAGGCAAGACGGAAGAGGCAGAAGACAGAAGGCATATCTGACGGAGGAATGGAGACCAGAAGAGACATACCTCCCCCTCTGAGGCAGGAGGGAAGAATGCCCTCAGACTCAGGTCGGGGCAGGCTGTCAGTGGAAAGAGAGGTCTTAGCTTCTGCTTTCTTCATGACGGAAGAGTCAAGGTCACCCGTTGAAGACACACAGTCTGAGGCTAGAGTAGAATCCTGCCAGCCCCATGAGGAGTGACAATACCACAGAGCAGGACAGCTGCACCGGAGTCCCGGAACACAGGACAGTCGAGAAACAGAACGAGTGAGCAATGGTTTAAGGTTTGTCAATTAGGCGACACATTTTCCTCTTCTGAGGAGAGCACATGCAAAAGAAACCCAGTTAGCAATCCTAATTATTTAAACCCCATTAACTCTCATCAGCATTTTATTCCTGGCTCACCAGGTGATCAGTAAGACAGTAACAAGAGTAATGAGAAAACCTAATCAAAGGGTGCCATTCAGACAGAATCCCAGCCACCTGGAAACAGCCCCCATTCCACCTCACCCACGAGGGTCCTCAAAGCTGTCACAGAGAAGTGGCGACCACTGTCAGCTTAAGTCAGACTCCGCAGAGGGCTGTAAGTATGGGAAGGGCTGAGGCGCTCACCGGTTGAAGATGTTCTCACTGAAAGCATACTTCTCCAGGCGAGCAAGTGGAGGCAGGTTATCCTGGCCTGGGATGTCCAGAAAGGCTGTTACCCTCATGCTGTCACGATCTGGGCCATAGTCTTCAAATCCATCTAAAGGGGAAGAGGGGAAAAAACCACATTCATCAGGTCACAATTATGCAAAGGGCAGGCCCTCACAGCATGATTTCTACCCTCATGGCCCTGTCCCGTGGGAGCCTCTGGGTCCCCAAACTTGACAACTCATCTAAAATGAAGCGGGTAGGTTTAGAACCCAAGAGAAGGGTGACAAAACCAGAGTCATAAAGAAAACCTAAGTGTCCTTTCAGTGCCACCAATCTGACGTGAGTCACCTCTGGTCAACATGGATGGTCCGGAACCTCTCCTCTACCAGAGAAGTCAGGACCCTATGAGAAACCTCCATGGCATGCTATGCAAACAGGTGTAAAACAGTCAAAAGCAAAACAGGAGTCTGGCCTCATAAGCAAAAATATGCCAGAAAGTCGATCCCTTATTTTGTCTTGTCCTGAATGAGCTGGTCATATAGTTTCCTGAACATGTGATGTTGATGCCCATCAAACCACAGGAGAACACCCGACCAGACCCCCCCCCCCCCCCGCCAAACATGGATGTCCAACGGCTTCCTCCAACTCCCCGCTCTGGCCAAAAATGAGCCTGTGGTCGTACTGGACATAGCACCCTGAAGCCTGCTCCTCCCCTCACCCCCAGCTGAGGGCAGGAAGACCCTCCCTCCAGTGCAGTGGAGTGGCATGGCTGAGCTCATGGGCACTGGAGTCAAACATCCTTACAATAAGATGACTCCCCCAACCACAGCTTACTGGCTGTGTGACCACAGTAAGTGATTTAACCTGTCTACACTTCCCTGTTCTTTTATCAGGGATGATACAGAATGCTCCATCAGGAAGTTGAAACAAGGGAGTCTGGGCATGTCAAGACCTGCAGGATTGAGCCCCTCATAATCCGTCCAACCTTGACCGTGGCCACCACCCTTCACCCACCCACGCTTCAGGGGCATAAACGCTTCCCTACTATCACCTGCACTGAAATAACTGGGTAAGGAGCACTAGTCATGCAAAAAAAGCAGAGGATTCCTACCTGGCAGAGAGAAAAACCAGTTCATTTAGGCAGTAACTGATAAGAGTTTAAAATAAGAAATGACACGTTTGTGCCGAGGTATTTACTTTGAAACACTAACCACATTTTTTTCTCCACAAATTCTTCTACGCTAGTAATTAGAGCTTATTAAAAATTTACACTGTGTAACAGTTACCCAGAGAATTTTAATAAAGAAGTATACATTTGTAGAAAATAGATGTGTGATGCAATCAAATACATCATTTCTTACAGGATCCTTGCCAGGGAGGAATGGGTCCCCACTGAGTCACAGCCAAGTCCCACTAACCACAGTCACTTTGTATGAGCTATTTTCAGTGCATTTCAGGGCCCAGGAGAAACATGCAGCCTCCATCCCACAGATATTTACAAACAGTGTGGACCTAGCCTGCAGTGGACTTTAAAACATTAAGTTTAAAGCAGAGTTCATAGGGTGCCTGGGTGGCTCAGTCAGTTAAGTGTCTCCCTTTGGCTCAGGTCATGATCTCAGGGTCCTGGGATCAAGCCTCACGTCGGACTCCCCACTCAGCAAAGAATCTGCTTATTCCTCTCCCTCTCCTTCTGCCCCTCCCACTACTTGTGTTCACTCTTACTCTCTCTCTCTCTCTCTCTCTCTCTCAAATAAATAAATAAATAAAATCTTTTAAAAAATAAACAAAGCAGTTTGTTAAACTTTTGGGAATCACAGATAGTTCTGGAACCTGACGATGGCCACAGATATGCATACTCAGAACTTTTCATAAAGAATCTGGGGTTTCGGGCGACTGGGTGGCTCAGCGGGTTAAGCCGCTACCTTCGGCTCAGCTTATGATCTCAGGGACCTGGGATCGAGTCCCGCACTGGGCTCTCTGCTCAGCGGGGAGCCTGCTTCTCTCTCTCTCATTCTCTCCCTCTCTCTGCCTACTTGTGATCTCTCTCTGTCAAATAAATAAATAAAATCTTAAAAAAAAAAAAAAGAATCTGGAGTTTCAAAAGATCCTCCGAGGTCCACCTGTGTACTCCTGGGTTAAGAACTGCTGTTTTAAAGTAACAAAAAATAGGCAGTCATTCTTCAAAAAACCTGCCGGAGAACTAAAGAACTTTGCAATTAGTTTCACAAAAGAATAACTGTTAATAGAGAATATTAATGATTCTACTATGCTAACTATAAAACATTATACTAACTGTGTACACAGAAATAGGAGCCATAAACCACACGATACCAGTAATAACTAATGTTCATTGGTTACTTCCGGGAACTGTGCTCAAAGCTTTGTGTACAGCAGTGGTTCATTAAATTCTGACAACAACCACATCATCCCAGAGCTGAGGCTGACGGAAGCCAAGAAAGCTGCCAGGGCCACAGGGCTAGAGAGGAGCAGGTCAGAACCCCAACTCCAACAGCCAGACTCGAGACACCACCACGCTGTGTCGCCCGAGGAAACCTGCATTCTCATTTTCAAAGAAAGCCCGTCCACCTGCCCATCTGAGTTGCAGGCATGGTGACCTTCCCTTAGTTCTTCAAATGCACCAAAATCCTTCATCTCGATGATCTTCTACATGTCCCTGCCACTGCCTGGGACACGCTCACATCTTACGACCCCCAACCCTGCCCCTGCCCTAAAGAGAAGGCCGCTCAGCGGTTACAGCCTCTCCCAGAGCTGTGGGCCCTTCTGTCCTAATGCTCCCCACAAAAGCATCGGCACTGGGTTTGTGATGTTTCGTGCGTGTCTCCCAGTGGCTCTGGGAGCTCCGTGAAGGCGCTGTCACCCTCACGCGCCCAGCGTAGGACCTGCCAAGTAGTAGGTGCTCCATAAAAAGTAGCAAAATGAGGGGCGCCTGGGCGTCTCAGTGGGTTAAAGCCTCTGCTTTCGGCTCAGGTCACGATCCCAGGGTCCTGGGACGGAACCCCACATCAGGCTCTCTGCTCGGCGGGGAGCCTGCTTCCCTTCCTCTCTCTGCCTACTTGTGATCTCTCTCTGTCAAATAAATGAATAAAACCTTTAAAAAAAAAAAAAAAAAACATGGTAGCAAAATGAGGAAAGACGCCACCAAAAGAAACTTGAATGAAAACAAATACTAGAGTGTCTGGGTGGTTCAGTTGTTAAGCGTCTGCCTTCAGCTCAGGTCATGATCCTGGAGTCCTGGGATCAAGCCCCACAGCAGGCTCTCTGCTCACTGGGAAGCGTGCTTCTCCCTCTTCCACTCCACCTGCTTGTGTCCCACCCCTCCCCCTCTGTGTCAAGTAAATAAATAAAATCTTTTTTAAAAAATCAAAGAAAGAGACTCCTATAATACAGAATTATAAAGAAGGAGCCTTGATAAATTCCCTCATTTTGTGGACGACTAAACAGATATGTCCCCAAAGACAGCAGCAGACCTAGGATTCTTAGCGCCCAAATGTTCTGCATTCAGGGCAGTGCTCTTTCCAACGTGCAGGAAAGTCTACTAAGATGAAGGCTGAAGGAATCGAAGAACACCACACCCAAAGGGAAGGGCTGTGGTCTTGGAGCAACTGAAGGAAAGCGAAAGACTTTGGTTTCCAGCCGACATGGTAACAGACCCTCACATTTTACGCATCTAGAAGACCAGAAAACCATCCATGAAACAAGTTTTCAGGCACTAGACAATAGGCAGCACAGACAAGGGCCCTCAGAGAAGGGACACAAACAAGGGGCCCTGAGACAGCCGCCTCTGACCACCCCGAGAGATTCTAAAGTTGCAGAGAAGGAAGCGCAAGGGGGCCAAAGTCCTTGGAGTTTGCAAAGGAGGGAGCAGCACATGCCAACAGAGTGGCCCCCGGAAGCTTCCAGCGAGTACTGATTGGCGCACACGCGAGAAGATACTACGGAGACTGGGGAGGAACCACAAGAAAGGAGCCAGCAGGTCCTTCCCGGCACTCACGTGCATGGAGCAGCAGTCTGTTCCTACCTGTGACACATGGCACTGTTGTAGTAGTGGCCAAATTAGCCTAGACTAAAGCCTGCTCTAGACCCCCCGATGGAGCTAACTTCAAGCCTCACCAGAATCCAGTCCAATCTAAAAAAGTTAACTACATACCATAACAAGATCCAACATTAGCAGATTTATACAATTTGTACTGTGAAATCTAATACCCCCAAAATTCTTAATGTCTGGCATCCAATCAAATATTACCATGCATGAAAAGCAGCAAAATAATATGACCATAATCAGGGAAAATGAATAAACTGAGAAAGTCCCCAAAATACCAGCGATGATAGAATAGAAAATGATCTTTAACAACAATTACGGGGCGCCCGGGTAGCTCAGTCAGTTAAGCGTCTAACTCTTGGTTTCGGCTCAGGTCATCATCTCGGGGTGGTGAGATCAAGCCCCACACTGGGCTCCATGCTCAGGATAGAGTCTGCTTAAGATTTTCTCTCTCCCTCTCCCCGGCCCCTCCCCACCCACACTCCTACAAGGATGCACACACACACGTGCACACTCTCTAATAAGTGAATCAATCAAAAAAAAAAAAAAAATGCTCCATATGTTCCAGAAATGCATGGGCATGTTGATGAAAGAAATGGAAACATAAGAGACCCAAATGTAAATTCAAGAGATGAAAAACATAAAACTGAATCAAAACATAAACTAAAAGAAATGACAGATTAGAGAACTGAAAAAAATCAAAGAACTTGAAGGTACAGCAATAGAAACTAAAATGAAACACAAAGAGGAAAAAGAAAAAAGAATAGAGCATCAGTTATTTGGAGACATTATCAAGCACCATAACATATATAGAACTCGAGTCCCAGAAGAAAAGTAGAGGGCAAAAAGAGAGATGGAGAAAGCATCAAAAATTTTAGAAGAGCTAAACATTCTTAAATTTGACCTAAACTATAAGCCTACAGATTCCAGAAACTCAACAAACCCCAAGCAAAATACACATAATGAAACATCACATTGAAGTACAACACAATCTACTGCTAAAAATCAGCGATCAAGAAAAAAATTTAAAAAGTGGTCAGGAA